ATTTCGACTGTTCCCTTTCTCATCAAACAACAGACCAACTTCATCTCGAACAAGCATAATCGGATTGACCATCTTGACTGGCTTATTTGCTTTTCTGTTTGTGGACTCCAAGCATGCTACTCTTGATGATCTTATCTTACTAGCTCCTAGTCTTTGTTGCTTATGGTACTGCGATTAGGCATACACCTGATACACAAGAATAAGAGATAATAAAAGGTTAGTAACTGAAACAAAAACTTAGACAAAATACTAATACTAAATATCTGTAGGCAACTATTAAATCTCCGGCAACAGCGCGAAAAACTTGATAGGTGTAAAGTTCTACCCAAATAATATCACTGCAAGTGCATAGCAAAGCAGTTGTAATATAAGGAGCTATAGAATCTCAAATATTTAAATTGTTCCACAACATATTTTAGATTCAAATTTTGTTAAGAGTAACAAGCAAATTTAATGCACATAATTAATGAAAAGCAATAGCAATAGATTGTGAAGGTCTTAAAATAAAGAAAAGATAGTCGCTAGGCTTTGTGAAATTTTCAGGTTGAAATCAAAATTGCAGAATGAAAACTGTGGGAATATATTAAGAACCATTTTAAATCTCGAAACACAATTATAAAACCAATCAATTTTCGTTGCATAGATTATCTATGTCTAAATCCTAGAATCCCAAATTTCCTTGCAAATTTAAACAATTCAGACAAGCATTCAAGTTCAAGTTCGATTATTCATAAAATCTTTAAACCAAATTTCTTAGTAGATAGATTTGCTCATCTAAGATAGTTCTAGCGATATATAATACTTCCGCATCTACTAATTAACCTAAGATCTGATTTCTAAGTGATCAGTATATTTAATCCCAATAGTAATACAATTCTAACAATTTATCATCAACCCTTGTGTAACCCAAAACCTAACTAACAAATTATTCAAACATGGTGAATTGAGAAAACGTCATAAAAGAAATATTTGCATAAAAGAGAAGAGTAATGATACAAAGAGGTTCAAACTTCTTCTCTAAGAACAGAGTATGTATTTGTCTCTCCAAAAAGTTATAATCTAATCTCTCTCTAAGTGTCAATGAAAATAAGATAATGACTAACAATTTCCGTTAAAACCCAATTGTACAATTAAAAACACAAGTGGGGCAAGTGTGTATAATTGAAACTTTTGGGGTAACTTGCAAATCTTCAAAATCTTCTAAAACTCGTGAAAAAGTCTCGACCATGATAGGTGTCGATCGACACACATGGGTGGGTGTCAATCAACACCCTGCATGTAATGTGTCTCTGGCTTCATCTATTCTGCAACACCTTCAGTTTAACTCCAAATAAGTCCAATATATCCAAATATGCTCCAAACAAACCTAATCATGTAAAGACTCGGAAGACCCAAAAATTACCAAAAATACTCTATAAACAAGATTTATATCATGGTCAAAACCCTGAAAAAATCATGATATATCATTACTCATACAATGCTCATGGCACTATTCTTGTAGCATAGTGGTGGATGAGGTATCAATCCACACTCGGAAGTGATGTAATGAAGATGCAACAAACTTGCTAAGCTAGACTAAATGGGGTTTTAAGAGGTTCACACTCAAACAATAAAGCAAAAGCAAACAAGTAAACTAAAAGACCAAACCATGAACACTAAAAGAGTTGAAATTTTAACTAAACAAGTGAAAATATGGTAACAAGAAACAGAGCAATTACTTAGGAGTTCAAGTATAAAAAGTAAGGTTCATATTCAAGGAGTTCGAACAAGTAATTTAATACATTCAACGATAAGTAAGAACTTCTACTATAGACTAATCCAGGTCAATGGCACTAATCCCTTTGACATATCACATTTCAAACCCATGGTTAATAATATATATATGACAAGCAAGCATTCAGTCACAAAGTACACAAAAGCATGCTAGACATCTAGTCCCTTAGGCTAGGTTTACTAATCTCTTGTGCAATAGTTCAGATATTAACTCACATTCCCATGCATAATCAACATCTAAAGATAATTGATTTATCAGCCCCTTAAGTACTCTCACATTAAACTCAGATCAAGTAAGAAATGATAGATGCAAAGAGTCATGACATTCTAAACACCATTTTCAAGCCTTCAACTCATTTAGGCATTTAATCAAACACATGAGTGTAAATGAAACGCCTATGATCTATTTCAGATAAAAGGGAGGTACTAGACATTAAACACAATCACACAAGAAGGAAATGTAAAGATCTAACACCTTAAACAATCATTAGAACCACCTTTGTCTACCCTAATCTTAAACCTATAAGTGACTACTCATTAACCATGTTCAAATTCACAAAAGTATGGATAAACATGGTTATTATTTGATAAGCAAAGAAGATTAAAAGTTAAGTACAAAGCTTCATTGAAAATAAGCCCGAAGATCAAAACTTGTTCGTGAGAGAAATACAAAACCTTAAACAAAAGCTAGATGTTTTCTTGCACAAAAGATAGTTAAAAGATGGATCAGGTAAGGTTTTTAGGCCAAGCCTATTTATAAGAACTCCTAAAATAGGTTTGGTCAACAAAATAAACCTAGTCAACACTCAGACAGCTTGCATCGTGCAGGATAGCTTGGGGCGTGGTCGGTATGCGCAGCTCGGTGCATCCGGATATACTGTATTGGAATGATGGCTCGGCAGACTCCTCGATTTTTGCTTCGGCTCGAAACAAATCGGGCAGGACAAGGAATGGGGCCTGATCGGTGCACTTGCTTGATGTGTCATATATCTTTGGATATCGAGCTCGGTTAGCTTAGGTCTCCTCGGTGCACTGCTCAGTGCAAGTCTTCTAGTCTAGCATATCGGTCATAACCCCTTAATGCAAATCACATCGGGCAGGATATCTACGTGCCTGGTCGATGCACTTCCTCGATGCAGCTCAAAATGCCTTGATCCTTTGCTTTCAGCTTGGATCTCCATCTTCACTTCAACCACCATTCTTCTAATGGCCTCATCAGCTCCATAAAGAACTAAAATACGCTCCAAATGCAATAATACATGAATTCATAATCCTAGTACACACTAAGTCTAATATGAATGCATATAGGACACTTTGGACTTTGAAATAAATAAAATGAGATGAAAAATTATGCTAATTAACGTCTTAAATAAAGCAGTTATACAAGGTATCAATAATAGAAAAAGCAACTAAATAAAAAAACTAATGGAAAAACCTATGCCAAATGAAGACCTTTCTGATTTTTTTTTTTTTTACATTTGTAGTGTTCATTCCACGCACAATATTAGTTATATATATACTAAATTAAATGAGAAGTTTGAAGCTCCTAAAGCCGTTCACATCAGCAAAACAAACATCTCTATAATCATGCCACATCAGCAAATCTTTAATAAAAATAATTTTTAATATATTAATAACATGCTTAAAATTAAATAGTATCTAATCAATAATAATAGTAATATTTGAATATTTATTAAGTTGTATGTACTATAATAATAAAAATATGACATATAACTTGATTTCAATAAAAAGAAAAATATATAATATATAAAATATTTTAAATTCTTACAACCTAAATTAATAATAATCACATGTTTAAAATAAAAATCTATAAGATATAATATTATGAGGTATTAAGTTCATCCACACAATAATTAAAAGAATCAAGTATGCATGGTTATGTACATACTATTCCTATATTTTTGGCTAAATACTTTTAGGCATAAATTAAAGTAATTACAGTATAGTTTGAATTATCAGTATAGTAATGCGTATGTAAAAATAGACTTGCATATCTTTATATTAAAAATTAATATATTACACTTCCATATTTAAAAATAGTATATATAATTTTATATAAAAGAAAATGTCATAGAAACTTCTCTAACCATCTACATCAACAAAAAAGAAATTCTCTACAAACTCAACATGTAAAGAAAACTAATATGTTTTTTTTTTTGTTAAGAAACTCTTTTAAACAAAATATAATATATATTATTAATTTAATTATAAAATTTCACCAAAATATAAATGTAGTGTAATTAATATATCTAAGTTAAATTACAAGCAAATGCAAATAAACTTTTTACACGTTTTGAGTTTTAAGAAACTTGACATGTTTAATAGAATGAGTTAGTATGAAGCTGTATATATATATATATATATATGTATTGCTTGCTTTATTCATCTATACTTCTATAGTTTACAGTTGCTTTAGAGACCAAATCAAAAATGCAGTTTATCAATATGATTGTGATTTTGTATAATATGTAAATGTTATGTTTATTTATATGAACAATAGTTCTTTTACGGATTTGTAAGAGTTTTGAACATTGATTGTTGTTTTGTTTTTAAGACTATTCATAAAAAAATCCATTACACGAACACAATTGAAATGAAAAAAAAATATAAATTAATTGGAAAAAAATATAGGTGTTTTAATTGTAGTCATATGTTTGATAAATAATTTTTTTAGATAAAAAATTATTTTAAATTAAATAAAGAGAAACTTATATTTGTTGAGTTCAATTATATATCAAATTTAGCCAAATAATAATTTTAATAGTAGTTCGAAAGTTGGTGAGCAGTAATGAGTTTATATATAAGTATTAAGTTTTAGATTAACAATTAATTTTCACATATATCAAATTTAGTAAATTCTTAAATTAAATCATAGTTTTCCAAATACTTAAAAATTTTGTAGATGTATGACCACCTCAAAATGATATTGAAAATAAAATATTATATTTAAAATATTAATTTACCATAAAAATAATTTTACTAAAATAATAATAAATAATTAAATATTTATGAAAGTAATCCGCGCTTAGCGCAGTAATATCCCTAATAATAAATAAAGAAAGCAAAAAATAATGGTATATCCTATTTTTTAACAAATGCATGATGCACACTTTTCTAACGCATCAAGTAATCTCATTCATTCATTATCATTACTATTTTTACCTTCCAATTTACTTATAGCGTAAAAAGAATTGAAACAAACAAGAATACACACTCACCACTTTTTTTTGTTTTTCAACCTAGCCACAATGAAAACAAAGAACATTTGGTTTTTTACGTGGTTGCTTTTGTTCGTGTTTTCAGTAACAAACGCATTTCCAACGAGAGACATTGAAAATCTATGCAATGAGACACTTGATGCGGCTTTCTGCAAAGCACAACTCCTAAATGATCCACGAATACCAACTGTACCCCTTCTCAGCGATGTGCTTATAATTGTGGTAATGTTATATATTTAAAACATCATTGTTTTTAATTTAATTTAGTACAACTGTATATTAGTTATTTATCTAATCAAATAGTAGAATACTACATAGGCTAGATGTAGAATATTGGGTTTTTTTTAATGCAAAAATATCCTTCAAGTAGATTTTTTTTGCAACTTTATCTTTTATTTACAGAAAGTGTAGGTTAAATCAGTAATTCACTGTCATTCGGTAATATAACTCACCATCTTATATAGTTTATAAAATCTATTCACGACCAAAAGTTATATGAGAGGTTTACTGTGAAGAGTATTTTCTGTAAGTGCAGGGTAAAATTTCAAAAAACATCTGCTTGAAGGATTTGTTTTGCAAAAAGCCCTTAAATATATGTGATAAATAAATAGATAAGTTAACATTTCTTGTACTTTATAAAATGTAGTGTAAGTTTTGTTTATGATTGGAAACTTCATCAGATTTCGCTTTCACGAAAACAAGTGCAAGACGGAATGATTCAGATTGACAGCATCCGTGGAAACTATGAGAATCAGAAGGAGATACACCAGATCAATATTTGCGATATCAACTATCTTCGTGCTGTGGAAAGGTTCAATGAGGCTAAAGATTTTACACTAAAAAAAACTTATACGGCAGTGATCGTATTCGCGGGTGACGCCAAGGATAATGTGAGTCAGTGCGAAAGCGAATTGGTAAAGAATAGGATGCAAACCCCTCCTCTCACTTTACATAATAAGAATGTTTCTAAACTATATGAAATTATTTTTGTTATTACCAAAAAGCTTGGGGTGAGAGTTTGATGTATATTCTATATGGACACAATTTAAAAATAAATTATTACTAAATACCATTTTATAATAAAAATTAGGAGATAATATATTATATGAAACGGTAACTCCACCGTTTCGTCAAGGACATGTAAAGCATATGGCCATACATGTACGTTATAAAAACATAAACATTGTTTAAGGTATCAAACTTTTTATTATTGTATATTATTAGTTATATTGTATTAATTTAAAATAATAATTTTTTTTTTTACATATATAGATATGGGTCTACATACTTGGAAGTTTATAATGTATATGATTCATAAGTTCCATTGTAACTAGGACTCGGTTAATCATGATTTTGCATGTTTAATCAAGAATCTTGTTTATAATGTCTGGAATAGAATATCTCCAGACTCCAATTGTTGAACAGCAATTCATTTCTCATCTTTGTGATACGCCATCTATGGAAATCAATAGCTTAGAATAGTGAATATATACCTGATTTACATGCTGACGCAAAAGACGATCATTTGAGTTTCCAACCTCTAACAAATCACTAATATTCATATTGGGATAGAGTTGAGCTTCAGGACAATAAGCACTCTATGAAAGTATACATAATAAGTAAATATATGGTGGAATTGGATCACCTTGTCAAATACTTTGTTTAGGAATAATCTTTCCTATTGGTTGGCCATTAACAAAGTCAGAGTAAGTAGCAGATATAATACACTTCATGATCCAGTTACACCTTACTTCGAAAAACCCCATTTCCTTTATCACTGCTGCAATAAAATTCCATTTAACCTTATCAAAAGCTTTACTTATATCAAGTTTAGCTGCTATGAAAGGTTGAACAAGCATCTTAGTATGAAGGAAGTGGAAAAAGCTCATGCGCAATAAGTATATTATATACCAGTCTTCCTGAAATAAAAACGGATTGATTATCAAAAATAATTTTATCCAACCATGGTTTTAAGCACTCAGCTAACACTTTTGAAAGAATTGTATATGCTATGTTAGTAAGACCGGTAAGTCTGTAGTCTTTAACTTTGGGAGATTGATCAATCTTTTGAATCAAACATATATGGGTATGATTTATAGGATCAAGAATTCATTTAAAAATAATATTAAGCAAATTAGAGCACACCTGATTGTATTACCCCAGTGATCTTGATAAAAATCAGTATTAAGACCATCTTGTCCTAGAGCTTTGTCTCTTGCCATATGATGGGCAGCTTGATATAGTTCTTTCTATGTAATTGGTATAGTTAGCATTTCATTCATCTCTAGAGTGGCCCTGCAATTCTCGGATTGAAACAAAGAATTAAGATAGTCTACAATCTCTCTATTACTGTCTTTTTGAAAATACCAGATTTTCCTTTCTGTAATTGCAAAAAACAGATGCAGTATGATATTCAACTTAAGACGTGCCAAGTTTAATGTTTTATTCAATAATTAGAATAATACGATTTAATCACCATGATTACAATTGTTTGGTGTTATGCAACTCTAACACTTTAGATTGCCTTCAACTGATTCCTAGTCCTAACTCTCCTCACGGGATCACACAACACGTGTATCAAGGGCAGAGGACACTAACTTTCTTACTTCGATTTTTGTATGAAGCTTGAAGAACGATCTCAGAAATTGTAGCTCAAAGTGTGTGTTTCTTACTTTGACCGACTTCTTATTTATCCAAGCTACCCAAACCCTAATCTTAGAATCTAGTGTTCGGCTTACGCATCTTTCTTTGTTGCAAATTTCCCTTTGAGAATATATCTCCAAGTATTCGCTCTGCTCCTCTTGAGTCAGCTACTAGTTACCACAGCTACAAGCTTCTTTAAGTGAACCTTGATGCTTCTCTTGATGCAGTCAGCATGTTCCTCAGGAACTGCATCTTCAGTCTCTCTCTTTTTGACTTAGTTTCTCACTCGAACAACTTGTCTAATAATACCTGCAAATACAGCCAAGAAGGTATAATATAAATATTGAAAACAAGTGCAAAACACAATGATCCATATTAACACATACATGGAAAGTACAATGGTCGGAACTATTTGAGACAGATCGAACTTTGCAATTTCGAATATCATGACGCTTCAGAAAAGTTCTCTGATGTTATAGATTATACACTGAAAATTTTGTATATGGCAGTGATTGCATGGGCAGTTGGTGCCAAGGATCATGCGACCGAGTGCGAAAGCATGGGTAAAGAATTGGATACGAAATTCTCCTCTCACTTCCTATAACATGAATGTTTTTAGACTATATGAAATCATTCTTGTTATTACCAAAAAGCTTGGAGTAAGAATATGATATATTTTTTTCGTCGACAATTTAATACGTAATTGATTAATAATGTCCATTTTGTAATAAAATTTAGGAGATAATATATTAGACTATGTACAATGGTTTCAACTTTCAACACCCTATTTTTTGCATTTTAACATCTACATCATCTTCTCTTTCTTCTGCCTAATCATTCAATATTCACTCAAATTTTAACTCTACAATGGTTTTGTTTAATAAAATTCAACACCATGTCCTACTATTTTTATTTTATTTTTTATTTATGTTTTAATACTTTTTATATATCCAAATAAAATAAAACAATTTTCTATTTATTGAGTATCCAAAATGATAAATTTTAATATAAATAAATAAACATATAAATTAATTTACTATAAGATAATTGATTTCAAATACTTAGGATGACAAAAAATAACAAAACTTTATAATGTGCCACATGCCATTGTCTCTCTCCTTCTTTTTATGTTTCAACATGTTTAAAAGATTCAACATGGTTTAATCCATATCATAGTAAACATTATTTTGAACACCCTCATTGTATCAATTCAATAGTTGAATTTTGTTTTCAACACTCTCATTCTACATAGTCTTAGAGAAAATGATAACTTCACTGTTTTGTCATGCACATATATAAAACATAGACATTATTTACGGAATCAAACTTTATTATTATCGTAGGGCAGCAAATATTTATATAAAAAAAACCAATACTCCATCTGTACATTAGTTATATTGTCTTAATTTAAAATAATAATATTTTTTTTTACATATATATAGCTAATTGATTAAAGATGCACCTGAGTAAAAAGGTATTTCGGGCTTGCTCTTTATAGTTTCTGGTTTCGTGGTTCTTGATCATGCCGGAAACTTATCGGTCCAGACAAAACCAGATTCTTACACTGTACGAGTTACAGATAAGACATCAATCATTTAGTGTTCACCATTGGCGGGATTGTATATAAAAATTCTTTGGTTATTACTCAGTAGTCTTATACTTGGAATCTCGAGTGCTTGTTGAAAACTTGTATATATATAAAGATACATAGTGAGTAAAGCATGTAGTAATTATATTGTTACTCAAATTGAATTATAATTTTATTTTCTAAATAGGGGTGAGTTGAGTATGGCTGAGAATGGTTTGTATTGAAGAAGATTTACAATGATTGTGGAATGTATACATCTCTAATTTTAATAATTTAGTTTATATGTAGAATGTAACACCCGATTTATAAAATATATGTCGAGATTTAAAAACATTGATTTGACTATATATATCGCTAAAATATATATTTATCTTTTATGTCGAATTAGAGTTAAATATGTTTGATATAGAGAAATTTAACGATATGTGATTTATTGTAAAGTGATTTCTGCTACTGTGTAATGAGAACAAATCATAAATAAATATCATGTAATGATTGACAGATATATTGTTAATATATCAATTTTTTTGAGTTTTCCAATTAAAACATTAACTGTGGGATAAAATTTGAAAAATTAAAAATTCTCAAAATTAATGGAGCTCTAAAGACAACATAGAGCTTAGGGGCATGAATCATGGTGGTCGACGGCATTAAAGTTTTTTTTAAGAAAATGGTGATCATCCATTGAAACAAAGGTTTTTTAGGCTCTTGAAGCTAATATCCTCAGCCACTAATCGAATGAACCTTTAGGCTCTTGAAGCTAATATCCTCTGTCACTAATCGAATGTAGTATAGGGATAAAATCTCAAACACACTTGTGGATATGAGATGCAAACAATACTATAAGTTAAATAATATAGGGTTTGATTATGTAAGAGTAACTCTAACGGCTTTAGCAATGCAATAAAGAGAAAACAGAACTGAAATACAAATAAACAAGGATTAAGCAAGATAAATACTGAAATTAATCAAGCAAAAGAAACTAAACAAAGCGGTTTTAAGATAATTAAAGAAAAGCAAGATCTAATGTACTAAGCAATAATGGTCAAGTAGTTTTTAAGAGTGGCTAAAGAAATTTCTAGCAAAGGCAATCATCAAGCTTCATATAAGCAAGCAATTCTCAATGTTGTAATTCTAGACAAGGTATCTAATGAATGATCTTCCTAGTGGTTAATAGTCAAACCCAATTCAACAAGACTAGAGTATCAAACCCACTTTTGATGTTGTATTCTCTAACCATGAGCATAAAGAACATAACCATATAGCCTAAAAGATGGACTAGTCAAGTAAACATCTCACATTCAAGCAAGAATTTAGATCATCCTATCAATCTTTTAAACCATATAGGGACCTAAGTAGCTAATCACCAATTAAGAACATATAAGTAAGCTCACAGTTGTGAATCCTAACAATGTCTAGCAATGAACATGACTTCAAGCAAAAGCATGTTCTTATAATGCAAACTATCTAACCATTAAGCAAGAACCTCATAACAAGCACTATCTAGCCCTACGCGAATCATCTAGCAAGGTGAACTCTCAATTTGGTGTCACTGAACAAAGGAAACATAGACCAAGATAAACTATCAAGCAAAATAAGCGAATCATGCATAGAATTGAGATATCAAGCCATTAAGTGAATCATATGCATCAACAATACCATATTCAATCAAAAGGGAGAAGCCTTATGAACAATAATCACTTTGAAAGAGAAGGAAACAAAAGAGAATAAATTAAACAAGCCTAATCACCCCTTAATCATATCATAATCACCACTTTTCCTACTTAGAACCCTAAATCTAAGGTAAACTACTTACTAATCATGTTTAATATTATTTGATTATAGTTAAACATGATTAGATGAGAATAAATGCAAGATAATGAAAACTAATATACCAGGGTGTTAAATCAAAGATCAGAAGACAAGATTAAGCCATAATAATACAAACTTGATTGAAGAAAATAAAAGTGTTTACAAGTTTGGGCAAATCGTCCTTTTTGGATAAGCAAGAGATAAGATAAGGTTTGGAATAGAAG